ATCGCAGTGAGGAAAAGGGTTTTATGAAACTGCATTGATTATTATTAAAAATTTGCATATTAGGGTTGCCTCACACTACCACAACTGAGCCCTAACTATTGAAGTTGTTTTGGGTTTAATTCCAGTTGCTGTCCAAGTTGTAGGTAGTTTGGGCAGTGGGAAATCATAAAAAGCAGTATTAGTAAGTATATGCCTCAATGTATAATGAATGTGTTGATTGAAGCTGCTTGTGTTGGTGCAAATGCTACTTTTGATATTAAGAATACTGATCAAAACTAAGCGATTGGGAGAATATTTTGCCATAGTGTGTTATGCTCCCATTGTCTTTGGTGCAATATTGTTATTTTGCTTTTATTTTGAATTTTAACCAGAGAAACTACAACCTACAGTCAGTTAATCCTTAATCTATGTAGTTGAACACATGACATGTCTCATAATAAGTGTAGGCATCATAGTTGTCAAATTGCGTATCGGATGGCGTATTATTTTTCAAAAATAGTGTATCGTATCATGTATCGTAAGATATGTATAATCATAGTTGTCAAATCGTGTATCAGAAAGCGTATCGTTTTTTAAAAATAGTGTATTGTATCGTATCGTGTATCGTAAGATACGTACAATTTTAATTTTTAAATAATTATCAATAAAATATATGTATATACCTTTATAAAAAAGTCATAGACTCATAATAACATAGCATTTCATTAATATTCCACAAACTATTCAAGTTCTTAACATAGTTTAGTAATATCAAAATACAAAAACCTCTAATTCAAACTTCTAACATCAACTACTTGAATAATCTTAATATTAATTAGGAATTTTGAATTCAATTAAACAACATTAACAACATATTTTATTTTAAACTATAATTACTAAAACGACATTGTTTCACTAGCTAGTGATTTAAAAATAAGTCATAGGGTAAACGATGTCATTTCAACCCCAAAAAATAAAAAAATAGAATTGTCACGTATCGTATCGTATGATACGGTATAAAAACGATATAGAGACACGATACGTATTATTTTTCTGGTGTATCGTGACGTATCGTACGATACTAATAACTATGCGCACAATTTTAATTTTTAATTAATTAATAATATATATACACACACACACACACTTTTGTAAAAAAGTCGTACACTCATAATAATATAGCATTTCATTAATATTCTACCAACTATTCAAGTTTTCAACATACTTCAGTAATATCAAAACACAAAGATCTCTAATTCAAACTTTTAACATCAACTGTTTGAACAACTTTAATATTAACTAGGAATTTTGAATTCAATTGAACAACATTAAAATAAGACTTTATTTTATTTTTTTAAATTATAACCACTGAAACGACGTTATTTCATTGGATAGAGATTTAAAAATAAGTCATAGGGTAATATAATGTCATTTTAGCCCCAAAAAACCAAAAAAAACAAAATAAAAAAAAACAGAATTGTCACATATCGTATCGTGTATTGTACGATATGGTGCAAAAACGATATAGAGATACAATACGTATTATTTTTCTGCTGTATCGTGACGTATTGTACGATACGTATCGCGTATCATACGATACTAATAACTATGGTAGGCATTAACCAAGTAGTTAAAAGATGCAGTAAGTAGCAGAGAATAATGTCTTGTATGGCAGAATATTGATGAATTTTTTTGCTTTAAGTTGGTGAATTTTGTCAATATTTAATGATGATGTTTCTTATTTGGTTAATTTGAAATTACATGCTCTTCACTATATGTGCTGGGTATGTGTCTAGGTCTAAAATCCTCCAAACCTCCTAAACTTAGGGGACAAGTATCTGGTTATCTGACTTTTAATTTGTTCCTAGGTTCAAATGTCGTTTTCAAAAAGAATACGTGCCATGCGTTTTGAGCTTATTTATAAATAGCCATGTGAATGTGGAGAAATTGAGAAAATAACTCATAACCTAAATAGTATTATTGTGTTTTTATCTTCCTTTTTTGGACATACGGTCCTGGTACTTGTTTAACAAAGGTATTGGCAATAGTAGCTTTCTCTTTTCCTTCCTTTATCTGCACTCTAAGGGAAAACAAATCTTAAGGGAATTTCCTCCATTAGACCTAAGTCCTGATCTTCTCCTAGATTATCCTCTTTTGGATTTTCTACGGGTTTAGGCAATCTTTCTGGTATTGAAACCGCCTGACCACCTCAAGAAAATCAGTGTGTCGATTTTTTTGACTTCATAGATTCCATAAAGCTGAGAATTTTCACAAAAAAGTTACAAGTATAGTCATTGGTAATGGCTAGCAACTTCTTTGATAGAGATGAATTCTAAGTTTCTGATATCTCTCTCTCTCTCTCTCTCACACACACACACACACACACATTTGGTGTTTGTTTGCCTTTGTGTTGATCTCTTTCACCTTACTCTATGACTACGTTATAGAACATTAGGTAAATAATGCGACGGACCATTGAATCTTGAATTATATTGTACCAGAAAATGGGGAAAATAATGTGCTGTGAATTGGATTAAATATATTTTTGGTTCCTCAAATGATGGTCCCACTTTGGTCCCTAAAGTACCAACTTTTGCAATGTCATGCCCTATGATGCATTGATACTTCGATTGGGGTGTATCCAATATGCATTGGATGTCAATACTCGTTGGGTACTTGCGGATACGTATCAGATACTTTTCTCATGTATCAAATAATTAATAAACTAGTTATCATTGTTGGATACTTATCGGATATACCTCAAATACGCGTATTTTCAAGGTGATTACATTCATCTTATAGTTAGTAAAGGGGATTGTTTAGAAACCACGAATCATACAAATAAAAATTCCTCATTCCAAGATGTTCATTTGGGCGTGAATCATATATATCACAAGATTTGTCAATTCTTTACAATTTGGTGAGCTTGAGTAATGAGTTTTTATGGCTAATGTTAAAGCTAACAAAGTCTATGGAAATTAAATTTTATGTAAAAGTTGAGAACTCTCGAAAGGTGACACATCTTCATCCTTAAAATTACATAGAATCTTGAATTTAAAGCACCATTAAGCATTCCTATGCAAGTAACATAAATTATTTAGTTTGAATGTGTTTTATTTTTTAATCCCTCGTATCCCTAATGTTGTAATAACGTTTATATATATATATATAGATAGATAGATAGATAGATAGATAGATAGATAGACTTATCCTAACCATACCTGTATCCTACTTTTTAAAATTTTTCTATATCGTTATATCCGTATCGTGTTGTATCCGTGCTTCTCAGGTCAATCCTAAACTTAGTAGTTTGTATTTCAATGGATCACTTGACAATGACTATTTGAAACTTAGTAGTTTGTATTTCAATGGATCACTCGACAATGACTATTTGAATTGGTAGTGGTAAATTAACCATATGCATATCACGTGAGATATATAAAGGGTATTTATAAGGAAAAAAAATCGACAGGTTGATTCGGATCCAATAGACATGGGTCATGCCACTCTTTTTTCTTCTCTTTGTCACCCTCAATCTCTCTCCACTTGTTCAATTTCTCAGTCTGTCACCCTTTCTCTAGCCAGCTTCTCTCATTGCCTCAAATCAACATCCTACAAATGCAACACCATCAACAACCTTCCAACCAGTGGCTCCACCGCGACACTACCCTAGAAGAAAGCCACATCCATTCCATCTCAACCTCCCTAAGAAACTCGAAAAATAGAGTACTGGAGAAAAGAGAGATGTGGGATCTAATTGATTCTCGTGATTAGATAAAAGACGATGAGTCGGAAGGATGTTCTTTGGGCATAGACAACCACATCATGGGAAAACTGGTCAGATCTATATTAGATTCAAGTATATTAAGATGGTAATTGAAGATGGTTATGAAGAAGATGACAAAAGAGGTGCGCAGGTATATAAATATGCAAATATACATATCTATATATAGAGAGAGTGAGAAAAAGATAGAGGGTTGTTGTGATTCAACAAAAGACTTTAATCTCGCATTAGCCAGCTCAAAATAGAGTACACAATCGACAATAATTGACAATTAACTCAGAAAGCTCTAAAATACACTAGAATCAAGGTGAGAAGAAATATTATAGCCGTATGGCCCGTGGTAGACCAAAGAATGACTAAGACTATTAATTTCTAGAGCAAAATTACAAAACAATTGTTCCTGCTATCAAATCTATTGTATGATGGATACTTCTAAGTGGTGGTAAGCCCATAGGCAATTTATCCGCAGCAAGATCCTTAAAATCCCTTAATAATTGCTGATTTTTTTGTGGAAAATCTAAATTTTGTTCATGTTGTTCACCCTGCACAGTTTTACCAACAAGCATATGCATCCAATCTCTTTCCTTGCTTTCCTCTTCAAGTTTTTGTTTATTAGAAAGCCATTAACCTTTTTGGTCTGAGTCGTAAGAGTGGCTCTTTCTTTAAGTGGTTGTGACTTTCACAGTTTGATACCTCTTTTAAACGAACATGGACTAGCTCTAGTGTGGTGGTTCACATGTTTTTGGTGTAGATATGGTCTTCCTAACTAAATATGACAAGCATCCATCTATACAATATCACATCAAGACTCATCATTGAAAGTATTGTTCATACTAACTTTGACTAGACAATAAGAATTAACAGGTACCGTATTTCTCCACCAAAACCATGCAACTTTGTAAGGATTACAATGGTTGCTACCATCAAAGATAACATCGCATACCTTTTGCACTGCATGGTACTTGTGTGCAAAAAATATTGTGGCACCTCCAGTCTACCTCAGTTTTGGGTGTAATCATTATTTGTCAAACCACTAAAGATTCTCATTCGTCCATTAAGACATCTACAATCTTTTCTTCATTGAATCATATTAGTAATAAATTGATTGTTATAATGCCTCCTCTTCATCTCAACCTCGACCACATTCACCGTTAGGGTGCTACTGCTCACTCTTTTAGGGCTTCCAACAACATTGTTATGAGCTTCATATCTGACAATTTCCTTTCCCCATTTCAACCTTACTAGCACCATTGTTGTTGCTTCTTCTTGCTCGATCAAGTGTGGCAGCCTCAGCTCTGTCCTTTGGCCTATTCGTGCAAGCTCTTATGGTTCTTGGAATTGCATCTCTAGCACCTTCCATAATAGGTCTTCTAGCGCTGTAATGCCAAACCCTCTTTTCAGCCATTAAGGCATGTTGTCAAGCATCTTTTAGGTTAAACAAGCGAATTATTCCTATCTCCTCCATAATGGGCTCATTAAAACTAGAGAGTTAACAAGATGTCATCGGTTTGTTGCTCTCATTTAAACCAACTCGATCAGAGCTACTATTAAACTGTGAAGTGTGCTCTTCCACTGTCATATTTTGTTGCTTCAATGAATGAAACATCTCATATAACTCCATCGCATAATTAGGCCACAAAAATTGCTTTCGCAACTCTGATTTCATTTGCTGGCACGTGGTATTTTTTTTGCTTGCCTTGTTGGGAACAATGCCCGTGTACTTCTTTAACCATTGAAGTGCATTGCCCTTCAACTTAAGCATTGTAAACAATGTTTTCTCTTCTCTTTTCTTTGTCCTTGGTTTTCATTCAACATAATTCTCTAAACTCGCTTCCTAATCCAAATAAGCTTTGACGTGCAACCTGCAAAAAACCTAAGCAACCTCAATTGTATTCATGCATCGTCTAAATCAAGTGCTCGAACCAATCTCTCTTCCAACCCTACCCCAGAATGTACTTCTCTTGCCACTTTTTTTCGTGAAAGGGGTTGATATCTTCAGATCAATCTCTTCTTCATCCTCGTGGTGACCTTTCAATATCCCTAAAAGAATATGATTTCCCTCTAGTACCTCCATATGGGTCATTGGATCTTCTTGTCACTTAAGAACTGGCACAATTGGTGCGAAATCCTCAATCATCTGTCCTATCTGCCATTCTGCGATTTGGGCTTGTTGTCCTCTTTCTCCATATTCTCCTTGACCATAATTAGCTATAGGCATGGATTGAATTATGCTTTGATACAAAATTTGCTGCATCAAGTTGGGATGGAGGAAAGAGAGTAAACACTCCACAAGAAGAAAGCAAAATGGCCATTGTCATGGTGTCCAAGCATAGAAAGAGGAGTTGAATGTACAGATAGAGAGTAAAGTCGAGGGAGAGACAAAGAGATTGTATCTTGTGTTTGGAAATAGGTTTTATAATATTGTGCTTGGAAACATTCTTACGTGTTTCGATGTGTTTTTGTTTATAAATGGAGTGGGAAGGTTAGGTTGGGTTGGGGATGGGAGCGATGGGGTGGCGTGGGATTGGGCTAGAGGTGGACCACCAAAAGAAGAAGAAGAAGAATTTGATGGGTCAAAGTTGACATGTATCATAGTTTTCACTAGTGGGTTAGATTTTACCCGACTTTGAGTTGGGACCTTTTTTATTTTTTGAGCAGAACACCACTGTATTGTAAGCATGTAGGCACACATGATAGTGTTCCATTACTTGTTTAATCTTCATGATGGATTTAACCATTTAAATATCAAGTGGAAACGTCATGGATGAAATTGCAAAAATTGGTACTTTAGAGACCGAAGTAGATGATGTGCAAACTTGAGGTTAGCCAAAAATGAAATTTGTCCTTAGGAATTTGATAACAAAAACTAGACAATTCTGTTCTATAACATAGTTGTTAGTATCTTACGATACTTGGTATGTATCTTACAGTGCGTTACAATACAGTGGAAAAGAGATAGGTATTAATGAGTCGTATTGTTTTTTCTTTGTGTGATACGATAAGCAATACATTTCTTGCAATACATTTTGATAAAGTGAAAAAACCAATATGAACATGATCTTTTTTTTTAATTTTTTACTCTAAACAATGAAATGATAGTATTTCACAAGACTTTTTTTTTACCCTAAACAGTGAAACATCATTTCCTATATGTTGTTTCTTTCTTTTTGGTTTGATGTCAAACAAATAAAGCCTACTATTGTCTTCTTCTAGGATCTGCGTCTGCGTTTGCCGTTTCTTCTTCTTCTTCTTCAAATAGGAAAATATTATGTTACAAGGATGAAGGATTGAAAGAGAAATGAGTTGAAATGGTATTTGTATTATTTTGGACACTATATATTTATGGGCAAACTTCTTTTCACCCCCCGGTAATATTGGACTAAAATAAATGGCTAACACCATTACCGGAGACAGGAAAAAGACACTCCTACCCCTCATTGTATTCCTCTCTTCTTTTATTTCGCGACACAATCCCCACAAACACTCCACTCCACTGCCCACATCCACCATTACACCATGGCGCACCTCCTCCACCACCCAACTGTGGACCACTCTCACCATCTGCACCACCCAATTGTGCACCACTTGCACCACCTCACCTGCCTACATCCACTATTCCCCCATTGTGCACCACTATGCACCACTATTCCCCCACTGTGCACCACTATGCACCACCACCACCACCACCACCACCACCACCACCAAAATAACCCCTATTCAAACCAACAAAAAAAAGTAACAAATTCTAACCCAATTAGTCAAAATGTGATTGGTAGAAATTGAATGGCAACTGTAAAATTGTGAACTGTTAGAAATCAAACCCAATTCATGACATTGTGAAATTGCGATGTGTTGAAATTGGACCCAATTTGGTAGAAATTGTGAATGAATTTAATGCTGTTTGTTTGCTGTTGAAATTCTGAAATTGGGACGAAGTTGCTCTGTCCCATTGTTATTGACGGTGAAGTTGCTCAAGAGATTTGCTCCGTCTATACTGTCGACGGATTGCTCCGTGCGATGGTATGTTTGCACTTCACCCGTGTGGCTATCGATGGTGGAGTTACTCTGAGGTGGATCTAGGCTGATGCAAGGGCTGCATTTTGTGATAGATGCTCTGCTGGGGATCTCTGTGCGTGTGTGAGAGAGAGAGATAGAGAGGAAATGTGTGAAAGAAAAGGGAAGATACGTCTAAGTCCGAGAGAGAGAGAGAGACGGGGGCAAAGGGCAGTGGTGGAGTTGCTGGATGTGTTGATTGGCGGGGTGAGGGCCAAGTGGGTATTAAGTTTTTTTTTTTTCTTTTCCAAAGACTGCAAGGGAAACTTTGTCTTTTTATATTT